ATAAAACGTACCGGTACACGGCTTCTCAATAATTTAATTCATGTACTGTATATATGAATAACGTATTCATGCAGTGTTAGTTAAAATTCCTCCATCATCTTTAAAATACTGATATGTAATAATAAAAATAAACATTTAAATATACAAGAGCACGCCCCGTGGTCGAAAAATCGACCAAAAGTATGTTTTGTGCAAACTTCTCCATTTTCACCCCACACTGTAAATAAAACATGTGATTGGAATGTCTTCCATTTGTTTTGATTTTCTGTTTATATTTTGTTGTTATTTCGTCATCACCATAGCAACCCATAAGACCCATGTTAATTTTTTAAAATTTCAAATTCATTTTTTGTGCTTATTTTTGAGCCTATTTTAATTTATAAAGGGATTCTGCACACCTACAGGAAAATAGCTTTCTAACGGTATGCGTAGATTTTCCCTACGATACACACGAGCTGAGAAAAAAGGTTTTAAAGAAACATGCTTGCCTATTAATAAAATCATAATTAGTTAATACCTGTTGTTTCACATAAAAGTGATCATTAATTTCAGTACACAATAACTATAATTATGAATAATCAGCATCTTCTCAGAAGCACGTGTTCACTTACTTCGAAATTTATATACTGTAGGCTACATTTAGTGAAGTAGATTTTTGTGTTAAAATTCGTTCGCTTTTCTCGTATGATGCGACTGTTTTCTCCCAAAGCCATTCTGTGTGGAGGGCAAAGAGCTTTTAATTTATATGGAACCTCGATCCTCTTCATACTTCTCAAAAGCTCAACATTTGGAAACCGTTGCGTTTTGTGTGAGGGATTGTTAATGAAATGCGTTCTTTTACGGAATATCTCGGAACCCACGTGCGGAACGCGGACGTGTAATTCACAGTCAAATTCAAACAAAATATTAGTCAGATTATTTACCAAGCTTTACCATACTCAATCTGTGCTTAATATTACTTTAAATACGAGAAACTAATTGCCTCAGACCGTAAAAATGTTGTTCTTTATTCCATAAAATATTTTGTTTCTGTTGCTAATACTGTAAGCCTATATAAGAATTAGAAAGTTAATGACTATAACCATGAAGGTAAACTAAAAGTGTGTTTTATCTGTAAGTTAGGTGTCGAACGATACTTGTTGTTGCAGTGAATATCTGTTTCACACATTAATGGGTCCAACAAACGTAAGTTGCGGTTGTCTCTTGCTCTTGAGCTCAGTGGTCAAGTTTTGGATCCTACAGGAATTTGCTTATCCAACGATCCAAATAACATTTCGTCATTATTGTGTCGGTGGACGTGTACAGATCATTCACTTCTATGATGTATAACTAATTCCCACGGAGATACAGTGGCAGTACAGAGGAAGGCCTATTTGTCCACGAGCACGTAAGCCCCAGCACATATCGGATGTTGTGGTCGACCGTCTTCTGCTGATTCCTGTAGGCAGATGTCGTTGTAGCCTATTTTTTACGTTTTTATGCTAATACGAGCTCGTTACATATTGCAGATTCTAGTAAAACATCGTTATCATAAATTTAAAAGTAACTTAATTTTAGGATGTCAACCTAATTTTCTTTTGTTGGGACGATAGTGCTCAATCTAACCAGTCAGATTAACAACCCTTTAAATTTGTAGTAAAGCGACGAACACGAAACCTGTGAATGATATTCATCAATTACTGGACGAATCAAATAATAATCGCATTTTTCAAGAATGTAATAATAATGCATGCCGACCACTAAGTATGTTGTTTAGCTATCATTCATTGTTAGGGAAATAATGTTTTATTGATGTTTTATTGAATTTGTGTAATGCGATCAATAGCCTAAAACATGTCTAAACATAATCTAACAATATTGCAACAGCAAACACTGTCAATGTTAGTGATATTTAATAATGCGGCGTGTAAGTTTAATATAACTCCGAAAAGCAATCCAATTCCGAACAAGTCGAGGGTTATTGTGTTTCGATGCTGAAAGATAAAAACAAAAACACGGCAAGATTTCATTTGAAATACAAATCCAGCGCTTTGAGCGCGGAGTAACAGCATGTAAACTGGGAACGCCATGCTTGCGACTTTGATCTCCATGGCGAAATTCGGTTTGGAAACTGTGTCAATAACAACGTGGGGTTTAATATGTGATTTGCTGGTTTGAGATTACACCAGAACCTGATAACAGTATATTTGGCACAGACTATCGATATAGACTATGAAAACTATCAACATAGACCAGATGGAATATACCCAAGGAGGAAGTATACGAACCTGTCATACATTGAGCTGATGTTGAGATACATTCCCGTGGAGTTTTTATAGGCTAATAGTTTAGTGTGCTAGTTATACGGTCTATAATAAATAAACCAGTCAGTTATTCCATTGTTAAAAAGTACCGTAAAAGAAGCAACGTTGTTTACAAATCTGGCGATGGCTCGATTAATTAAAGTACATACTATAGGTAACTTATTTTTTTAATTCTAAAACTGAACTAATTCACAACGGTATCCAGTCGAATATATTAGCACAAGTTAACAAGGTTGTCAATTCTTTTCCGCACTGGGTTATCTTTTAAAGGTATCTTTAAAACAAATAACTGACGTGTTCTGAACTACTAACTGGAATAAAATTAAACATAGATAATTTATTGACGCCTTAACTTTACGTTTCGAATATATTTTTGTTTAATATAAAATCCATAATTTTGTAAACTGAAAACAAACATTTATTTTTTTCTATTTTAGCCTACTAGAGTAGCCTATTTATTTCACTCCCATTCCCAATGGTTGATCATCCAATGAATTGCATTAATTCAAATCTACTTGGCGTTAGTGTATTTTAGGCGTGTTAATCTCTGTTTTCTGGAGTGATTTCTTGTTTACAGGTCACTTAAAAAGACAATAACGGTACAATTACAAAATGGCGTAACATCTAAGAGGTAATACTACGTAGTCATTAACCGATCTATGTTTGTGATTACCATTTAATAACCTGTAACTTTATTAACTTCAACTAGTTCAATTGAAGGTAAAACTTGTAGTGTTTAGTTGTCACTCAACTGTAGGCTTGAGTGTGCTATGTATTTGCATTCAGTGAGTATGGACCACCCAAACCTCATTAATTGATCCAACTGATAATCGGGCGAAACTGCTTTGGCCACGCAATTACTGGGACCGACCGATTGTGCGATGACTCCGTTACAGTAGACTTTGGGCCAAACCACTGAAACTGTCTACAACAAACCATCAAAAAGGGGTTTGATTTAAAGAAAGGATGTGTACAAAATCACTAGTTATTATAGGTAATAAAATACTGAAAACGTGATAATTATGCCTATAGAGATAATTGAGAAGAAATACTGACAGTCAATTAATACTCAACAAAAATATTTATAGGCCCTATTTTATATTTATTTTTTTTTTTTCAAAATTTATTTATTTTGCTGGTATCCAACAAGATCGAAGTAGAAAGTAACTTAATTTTTTTAAACAAATTTGAACATAATTTGTACAAGTTTTAATTTTAAAATTCTGCAAATATTTGTTGAAAAAGACTTTGCTACGTTTATAAAGAACGTTTTCATCGCAGTTCAACGACAAAATGAAGTTTATTCGTGTCTTAAGCTAATGCGATCACATTTTATTATTATTACTGTACTTTTAGTTAAGTAGTATTGGACAGATCAGACTGGCTTTACTTTAGTTCCAATGATATTAACTTCGCATTGTTTGTAGACCTGACATGTAATCATAAAGCGAAATTTATTTTTGTCTTCAAACTATATTAGTTAAGTGAGGCCCGCAAATATATTTACAAATGAACAATACATACCGGTAATACATATATTTACACCTCTAAATACATACAGGTAGCATTATACTGAGCAAGGAAAGCGACCAAATACTATACGTCTATACGTGTCTATTTTACTTTAAGTTAGAGAAAATTTAAAGCAATACTGTCTAGTTAATACGATCGTATAGGTGGAAAGCGATTTACATTGGACGTAAAATATAACTAATTAAAAATTATGTTGGTTATTAAATAAAAAATGGTACATTTATTAGGTACCGTATTTTGTCAATACCCTACTTACCAAAAGATTATTTTAATTATTTAAAATTTCAATATACAGCCACAAATTTACAATTTTATTTTTAATATAGTTTTCTGTATAAAGCGTATTGGTTTCGGTATTCAGTATTGCGAATATTAGTATAATAAAACGGATGTTATTTATAACCCAATCAGTCAGGTTTTCGGATATCACAACTGATAAACACAATCAGCAATAAGGGCTTATCGGTGATTACAACGGTTTAATAAATGCATTGATATATCGATCAAACGTGAGTATCAATCATAGCGATCCGCTTTAGATAATTGCATCTCTGGACCACCAAGTGTCTACGCGGAGTATACTGTACTGTACAAGGTGAAACATGTTTTGAAACAGACTGTCGTGGCTCGTGGCTGTAAAACCAAAGTTTGACAGTCCCGCGTGTAACTTGTAACTACTTGAAAGTGTGTCTAGTGACTTGTAAGGAAAGCTCGCTTGGAGGAAAAGACATTTTTTTATATATTAGCTTGTTACTAATATTTCTGTAATTATGACTTTAGTAACAAACGACTAAGAAATGTTTACAACGAACATAAAAAAGCAGAAAAAGTATATTCAACTATCAAATTTTCTTACTGTACAAGTATATGTGATTGTTTTATTTTTGTAGCTTTGAATAGGTTTAAACTTGGTGATGGAATGCAATTAAAATCTGATTAGTTTGTAGCCTATCATTAGGAAATTTAACAATCATAATTGTGTCCTTTGTGTACTTAATACTTAATTAATTAAAAACACAGTTCCTCAGGTGCGAGTTGTGTCATGTTATCTGAGGCAACAGAGAATGCACGTAACCTTGATCTCCTTGGTCCGCTACAATACCGCGGCGTGAGAGTACGATCTCTCCGTTACTCTAGGCAGTTACTATGTACACTGTGACTCACCGAAGTAGAGTAAGGTTGGTTGCTGAGTCTGATGCCGTCCTGCGTCAGCTTCTCCTTGAGCAGCAGTTTCAGCTGGAGTCTCGGTATGCGGATCAACTCTGCCTTGCCTTCCTCGTACTCGTCCAGGTACCTGGTCAGTTCCTGGGCACTCCCGGCACTGGAGGATCCCGCAGGACTCCTACCCAGCACCTCCTTGTCCGACACTCTCCCCGAGGACGCTCTGGACGACCTGGCACTCGCACTGTCGCACTGGCACTCTTCCTGGATGGCCGCCGACTCCTCCAGAGTGAAGTAAACGGACGCCGCCCCTTCCTCCCGCAAGGTCCTCACGGATTGCAATAGTCGGTTCCTGTGTGAAGGGTTGAACACTCCGATCGCGTCCAGGTCGGGGTCTCCCACTTGTTTACATATCTCCAGGTCGTCGTAGCCGTTGTCCAGGAACGACTCGGCGTACTGGCCCAGGTGTAGCGACCGTAGCCACTCCACCACGATGTTGCTGTTGCTGGTGGACATTGTTGTTGTGTCTACATTACGCACGTACTACACCACTGCCACTGATCACGATCACGTACCGCATCGCGCACTGTCTCGTCTCTACAATGATCACTCTGCCACTGCCACTACAGACGACTACACTGACGCGCACTCGCCACTCGCCACCGCCGCTACACTACACGGCACAGCCGCCGACATATTGACATTCTCTTGGTAGTTCCGCCGCTCGCCGCCGTGTCGCGCCACTGTACGGCTCAAGCTTCGGACCACCGGGCCTATTCATTTTTTATGAATTGCTTATATCAAATTACTCCCTCCCCTTTATTCTGCAGGCCTCATGCGGTTTTTCAAGGAGAACTACTGAACGAGCTCTTCTGTTAATTACCCGTAACCCCTCAATGCGCTCTGTTTTAGCCGGCTTTGAAAGCCCCAAACTATTTACAAACCTTGGCCACTTGTTTGTAGTTTGTGTACCCGTCAGGCTGAGTGGTTATTAGGGGAGTCTGAGTCCGATGACGGATTATATTTTGTATTACTTAATTAATCTTAATTGACAATACAGTTTATTCTCACCATTTTCTTCTTGTTATTTATTCACACGATGTAACACTTTTACTACAACTACCATTTCCATTATTTTTAGGATCATTATTATAATTTACGTTCTGACAATGATTAATTGTCCACATTAGTTCAGTTCTTCTGGTGACTTGATAGTGAGATATTGGGTGACATTGCAACTACTATGTTTTATGTTATAAAAATATCCAAAAACAAAGTTTAAGCACATATTTATTAAAATGTTTCTTAAATTGGTTGTTAGAATCATTTAATTCACCACAAATGTGGAGATTGTACTCTAGAAAGAATTAACCTTGTTTTATGAGATATAATTTATGACGATATACATTTATTTACTTTATCTTATTGTCCTCAATCTTAGACTACGAATAAACATTGGCAATTTACTTGCGAGCTGTCTTATATCAACTTTAAATGCATAAGTAGTAGTGTAGTAGAGAGTTAATTCTTGACATTTTCCTCATTGTAACTTTCTGGGTATAACATTTATTTAAATTTCCCCAGGTATATATTACTCTGTATTACATCCCTTATATACAAATTATTATTCTTTTGAAAGTTACGAAAGACAGCTTCAGCAGACCACGCGAAGAAACGTCACAAAAGTTGTTAAATAAATAATTTCAATGAATTACCCGGTTTGGTTGACAGCTTAATATAGAAGCCTACAAAGTTTGTTCGTGGCGCACGCAAGCTAACTTACGATTCTGAAATTTAGAAAGAACATCGTCTACCCTATCTGTTTGGTTTATTTTGTTTATTTGAAGTCTAAAATCAATAAACTAATTTTATCTTCATCTTTTAACATTGGCCTATTCACAAGATGCATTAGTATTTATACTTCAGAAACAGAGTAACAATAAACATTCACCATATGAATAAGATAATAAAGAAGTGTTCTTATCCAAGATAAACTGCTGTGCCTTGAAAATTTACTGTACGTACAAAATGTGTAATTGAAGTTGCTAAATAGTATAATTTGCTAGTAATAACTGAAAACGTAAATATATTTTTAACGATTGGTGATAATTAGTATGTCCATACTGTATTGTAATAATGATAAGGCTGTCCTTCCATCACACGTAGATTACTAATAATATAAACAAATAATAAAAATATAAATAATAAATAAATAAAAAATGTGTAATGCTGTAATTTTTAAACGAAAAGGCAATGTGACCAAACAGTAGCAGTGGTACAGCCTAGCTGTTTTTGGTTTATATCTGTAGCTATTGTAAATTGTTTATAAATAAATAAATAAATATTTAGATATTAAATATAGGCCTTAAGGTTTCGAGTTGGGGCTATTAATATCCAGACAACTAAATGGGTAACATAAATACTCAAATACTTCTAATTGAAATTGTGACTATACTTAGGCAGGTATTTTAAGCCAAGTCATGAATGGAGATTTTAGTTGCCTATGTTGACTTTATTTAGTTTTATTAAACCATCAGAACTTAACTTTGTTTGTGCCAATGGACCTTTTGGAGTGTTATTTTCTCAGGCGAGATTTAGTTCAAAATCACTAACCATCCAAATACAAACAAAATTGAATGAACCTTTGTTAACATATTTGGCGTTTTTCTTTTATTCCTATCCATTGTCGTGCATTTCTGGCCAAGTTATTTTATTCAGGTAAATACACCATTGCAAAACACGGGTGAATAATATGTTGATAAACTTGTACACCCATCTGGTTCTAACCGTAGTGCTAAATGTCACATGCCTCTCTATAATATTGAGTTGAAACCCGAAAAGAGCAAAATGTCCAGATAGAAGTGTCTTCTGAGAGGTTAGTTTACCTAAATTGAGTTATTGTTGTGACTTAAAATCAACGATAAAAATTCTAGGGTATATTATAAGACCAAGTAACTATAGGACCATTTTACTTGAGTTCTGAGGATCGCAACCGACGACCCATATCTCGATGGACGAAGCACGAAGCTAATAGTTTCTTGTCAATTTGATGTTTACTGTCGAAGACCAGCGAACACAGAATAACAATGTGTTACACTGTGTTCGCTGTCGAAGACGAACAATATCCCAAGTAGACATCTAGTGTTATTTGTCAATTTGACATTTTCGTCCGAGGTTGTTGCTCCAGACTTAACGCCACGGTTATAACTAGTTTACTGCTACACAATTTATTTTCCGTACATGCCGCAAGGACACATAAAGGTGGCAATACCTCGGTTACGACCTTCTTTATTGTTTTAACGTGCGATAAACATGGCTTCACCTTTCTACCCCGGACTATCCGGTGTTAACGGTTACTCTTGTACCTGTTTATCGATGATAAATGAGCCGAGTAAATGTCCTTGGGGAGTTGAGATCGGCGCGAAGAATTGCTAAATCATTCATTGGTGCTACGAAAACACTGAATATTAAAGAAACATTTTAACTTGTATTTAACTAACTGTTAAATTAATTTATTCGTCAACTGTTATTGATCAAGCAAAAAGTCCGTGGATGTGAGTTAACCTATAATGTTTTACGATTTTCTGACCATACATTTCAATGTAATCTGGAACAAGTAAATGATGGCTCTATTAAAAATTTGTTTTTTTACCAACAGACGAGGGTCAATTGGTTGTTATCAATTCCTGATACTTCTCGTATTTTATAACCCCTCGAGGATCGTCTGTTGTTATTGTGCAACAAAACTTAAAACAGAAGTCAAAGAGTATTTTGGTAAACAATCGAATGCTCAGCCGATGAACTAGCCCCGGTCATTCGTATCACCTTTTTGTAAGGCCCATTGAACAATAAGGTTCCATTCTTCAGACGCTCCCCATTTCGGTTTCCGAAAATCTCATTGTCACCTTCGGTTTCTCTGGCCTGAGAAAGGAACGCTCCTTTCAAAACCCGAGGTGTGCGTGATGCTATGTGGAATCCATTAGCGTAGCGTTAGTTTTAGAAACAATCAAATCGCAGCTAGAAAGCAGGTTTATAGGTTTTAACGTTTCGTTACGCGCATGCCAGCGCCACTGAGTTAGTGGCTACAGCACTGTTAATTTGTGAGAGCTACACTTATATTTTGTGCTCTGCGTGAAATACAATGTGTTCCTGTCAAGCTTAGTTATTGGAGGGTTTGTTTGAGGCGGGATTCGGTGGGACAGGTTTTAGAGCTCCTTTCTCCAAAAAGAATACGGTATACATTAAAGAATCTTGTATAAAAAGTAAACAAATATGTAAAATAAAAATAAAATATAAAATCACCGATCTTGCGATTTCCTTGCGATATATTGAAAAATGTTTTACTGTAGGTCTATATGTTGTGACGTCAGTCATTAACCTACTTTTCAATAAAATGACGATGAAATTTGTGGAAATTGCTTTTAACAATGAACATATTGTAAGAAGTCCGGTTAGAAACAAATGTTTAAAATTATGTGGGGTGATTTTCAGTAATTACTTGCTGTTTAGTGAACTAAACACAAATATATTGCATCTGGATCGAAACTGCTTAAAGGAACTTAAACAATAAAGAACTTGCGTATCAATGCAACAAGTTACTTAAACTATTTATGTACGCGATGCGATCAGTAAACAAACATATTGTTATCTAATACACAGAAATTCGTAGTCTAGACGAAAGTGTATTCATTAATTTGACATCCTCAATTACCAAGGAGTTGAGAAGATTGTTGGTTCTTTCACAAGGGATAAAAGAGACGTCGTCTTTGTTCCTTCTTCAAAACGCGGTCAAGAGCTCCAAAGTTTTAACAACTCGCTCAAGACGACAACCCCCCTCCCCCTACCCCACAGGCGGTCCTCATTAAATATTATTATATATTTGAAAAAGATGTCGCGACATCACGCAGTTAGAAATAAACTTTATCGTCTACATTTTCATTAGAGAGAACGACCAACTGTAATAAAAGACTTGTTTCGTTACGGTATGGTCTGAGATTTTCTCCGGGTTTAAATTGACTTAATTTAGTTTTTCATGTTTTAGCTCCAAAGTTTATACAGTAACATGTGCATCAGATAACTTCTTAACATAGTTTAATGCATACGTATGTAATTATTGTGTCACTACCATGGTATACAATAACTATAGAACACTCAAATATTAGCGTATACATAGCACAAGTTTTAATTTGTAAGAGGCACGTATTTTTATTTTCATAAGGGTACGGAAATGAAACCTAATAAATATTAGGGAATAAACATGTGTTACTGTATACTGGTTACATGCTAAGATTATCGTGCAGCCAAATTTAAACCAACAAATATTCTAAAAGAGACACAGTATTTAATTCGTAAGTTGGCTAATAAGTCGAAATTGTTAAATTTACGGTACACAAGGGCATCTTATAACTATCGGTCATCTTCACCTGATCACTAATTAATTACCGTTGCGATTTAGTTAACTATTAACCAAATTCATTAATTCATATCTATTTACTTTTTGGTGTAAATATTTGGATTTATTTTATTGCAGGAGGTTACAATGAGGGTGATAAGAGAGTACTGAGGGAAAATAGAATGACTGAGTTATTTATTTAATTAATTCTACAAGCTGCATAACAGGGAAACACAATGATGATTAAAATTCCCATCGGTTCATTCGTCCACTCCTGTCTGCTTGTTACATGGATTTGTGTTAGCGA